TTATTATATATATATACTTTTCTAGTATATGTATGTATGTATATATATATATATGTGTGTGTGTGTGTGTGTGTGTGTATGTATATGTATATGTATATGTATACGTATACATATATATATATATATATCAAAAGTTCACTTGCATTAAAAATTTGAGAACAGTAGTGAAAAGATTGATGGTGTCACAGCCTGGTAGTACAATGCAGAGGCCAGAGAAAAAACATCTGATGTTTGTTCTTGACTGTACGTGCAAGAAATTTTGAATCTTATTGAAGCTGTGCGATAATATTAATAGAGTTGATCGCATACATACACCCGACTTCGCTGGTCTCATGAACAATGTCGATTTGGTTTACCGTGCAAGTGCATTCAATATACCTTACATGGCAACACGGAAACTTGAATAGTAACCAAAGTTTCGATGCAAATGGTTCGAAGACTCGAAGCGGACACGAGCAGTTTCGGGTTCTTGTTTTCATTTATACATATGTCGAGTGAGTACATACCAAGGGGAGAATTACCACGATGTTCTCGAGTTCAGTCACGGACAACAAAATTGCACTATACAATTACACAAGTGAGAAGTCAGTAGGAACTCCTACAAAGTTTTCGAATTCTGCCATTGACACTAGAATTATACTATAAACTTAGATTGCTAGCGATGGTGGCATGGATTGTACTAACCGTCGAATTGAACAGACGCGCAGGCTTGCGGTTACTAAGCAGGCAAGATGGAGGTAGAACCCTCCGGAATGAACCCAACATCATCCCTCGAATATCCGACACGAAACGTTGAAGCAGTGAGATATTTCGGGCGAACTAGACAGACCAACTGAAGTGATTTATATCAGGTACGGATGAATAGTAAGGGTTACTACACCATTGAGATTATCTTTTAGCACCGTTCAGCAGTGGTCTTTCTCGCTCACACTCAGCCTCTCAGGTGCTCAGCACGCTGAGCACAGTCATTTTACTAAACAATCGTCAATTCGTCATTGTTTGTTTTTGACTTTCTGAATTTTTCACTTTTGGCAAAATTTTATTTCGATTGGATACGCAATTTAAAATACGTTCATTGGATAAAATACGCTCCACAACATCATTTTGTGTATTTTGTTTCAGAAACTAAGAAACATCTCGCAGAGATGTATTTAGACTCGCACCGTCTCGCGCGCACAAAAATAATCAAATATCTTATTATATAATACATACGCCCTATGTACAAGCTACGGTCAATAAGCCCGTGGCCCCAAAAAGGCCCACCCCCGGGTAAGCCCCAAGACCACTGCCGACACATTGCCATGCCCACGATAAAAAGCGTGAATAATATTTATTTTTAGATATTCATGTTTTTTTTTGCCAATCTCTACTGAAGTAGAGAGAGTCACAACAACAAGGGTTTCTCAGTTTCTCTAGAGATAATCACAATCCTATCCGGGAGTGATTTTTAAAAAAGGGAAGGCTTTAACTTTCAAATGGACGCATCATTATTTGTATAATACATGTGTTGTTACTTACAATACGCACGGCATAATTTTCCCATAATATCGACACACTACCTATAAATGGGAAATATCCTCCATATTCTATCAAGTGCGACACGGCGTCATGATGAGATATGTTTATCCCTGTTTTGTATGATTCCTTTTAAAGGTGCTTAGATTTCCTCTGATCCTTTTTGAACAATGATCGCCTCTGTTAGCAAATGTCAGCGCTCAATATCGAGAAAAAATCCAATGTGTAATCAAGGGACTAAACAACTGATGATGACACTCCCGATAGAATACATGTAGAGCAATTTGTACAGAGTAGAAATTTTGATACGAAAATAAACACGTTTATAAACGTGTGAACGAACAGGATAAGTACCAAAGTATGCAGAAAATGCGATATTAAATAAATAAGCTGAGCATGTGCGCAGTAGCGCAGTATTTACTACCCATGATTGTCGATGTTATTTTGCTATGCTCGAAAAGTAAATCCTGATCTGTTTCAGGTCAGGATCATATCATTCCGATTCCAATCATATCAACGATTGGGATACATTGCCACCTATATCTCGAATAAATATTAAGTCACCAAATAATCAGTATACCGATCACGCGTTTAAAAATCATTCACTATACGACGATACTTCTATTCGGTGATTCATAACGCTCATACACTGCCTGTATACGATGTAGCCAATCTGGATGACGCTCATACATTGCCTGTATACGATGTAGCCAATCAGGATGACGCCAAATTCTACTTCATATGAAACATTCCGTAAGTCAAAACAACCCGTGTGTCGTACGTCCGTTTTGCGATTATAGCTCACTCATACACGATGATGCTGTAACTATTGGACTGCTGTGTTCATCGGTATGATATCCATACTTCTCGAAGTCTCTGCAAGTCTAAATACATCAAGTGCAGCCTTGCAGGAGTTGGTTTTTCACGCGAGTCTCAACTCCCAACTCCCAACCACTTCCAGGAACCCTTACATACCATAATTGTAATCCGGTTTATATTCCATGATGTAGGCAACAATCACAACAAGGCGTATTGTAAATAAATTTTAAATATGGCCCTATGGAATTGTCGCTGGATGATAAATGGATTCTCCCTCAGGACGAAAATCATTTATCTTGGAGACAATCCCAGAGGGGCATGATTCTATTTACAATGAACGCTCGTCGCTCAGCCATGGCCCAAGGGCCCTGTCGCCGTCGGCTGTCACGGTGTCGCCCTCTCAACTCTCTACCCCAGGGGCCCAGCAGCAGATGAGAGAGAGAGTAGATTAAATAACTGACTTGGAGATACCCCAGACCCAGGGCTCAGACCTGCCCCAGGGGTCCAGAGCCCATTCACCACTGGGCAGTATGAGGTCGCGACAAGTCGTCTGAAAAAAAACATGTAAACGACCGTCGCGACGTGTCGTCTAAAACATATACTCGACATGTTTTCAATTTTTCATACATACGTACAGGCGGAAATTTTCAACAACAACAACAAAAATCATGTTTACTAAAGGTCCCGTGATGATTGGCAATTTTCAGATATCATATTGATCCTTCAGAGGGTCTAATTTAGTAATTTCTTCAATCTCGCGTCGGCCATATAAGACATGTCGCGACCCCACATGCCCATATGTCGCCTAAAAAAACATGTATTCAAACGACCGTCGCGACAGTATCAGGTCGCCATTGGCAAATGACATGTCGTTTACCAGTTCAGACTCACAAGTCACCAGTGCCCGTTGCTCCCACACTCGTCACACTCTCACAGTGACAGTCCCACACATTATTATTTTATCGACAAATATCCTAATATGCCTGGGGTTGGCAAACGACGCCGACAATTGACATGTCGCGGCGACATATTGTAGGACATGTCGGTCGCGACATGGTGTCGGCAGGTTTGCAGGTGACTGTATATTAGCCTACATACACATATCGAGACGGCATGTCATACATGTCGCGACGACATTTTTTTTCAGGTGTGTATGTCGTTGTCGTATCCCAACCCAGTAATATGCTTATTGCTTAGCCTCTATGTAAATATTATGTTTGTTTGTTTTAAAATAAAAAGGAAATCAGAACACTACTAAAAAACAGGAGGCTAGGCCTGAAATATTGTACAATGTACATAAATATATATTTTAAAAACATGTACTCTCATCACTCGGGTCGATATATGGAGTTATGGATGTCTATTTTAGAAGGCTACATATGTTATGGACATCAAAAATATAGTGGAGATTCACTGATTTATAGTGGGCTATGTAATTATTGTTTACTCGCTCACTACTCCTTTAGTTCTCAAAATCAGAGAATCTTTGGCTCTCACAGACTCACCGACTCACAGTCTCACCAGAGTCAGTACACTCACCGCTATTTAAAAACGGTTCCAAGACCGGCAGACGGCAGTCCGCACTCCGCAGCACCAGAGTCCAGACACTCTCTAAATAAAAAAATTCAATATGTACGAGACATTGATTTGTTTTGTTTTTTTTAAACAACCCCCAAAATAAAATACAGTACTGTTTGTATATATGACTATACGTATGTGACTGTGTACATTTTGCATTTCAACCTACAGTATCTGATTTTTAAAAATAGAGACTACAGAGTACAGACAGTATTTGTTTTCACAAAAAATAGATTGATAAATTGGCTTCCGGGCCGATCTGGGCTCTGGCTAATGGCTTACACTTTACAGCCTTATGGCTTTCTATGTATGTTTCATTTATAGACAATATCTTCCTTTGTAATAAAGAACAAAATATCAACAACAACAAAAATTTCACCGACACGGATTAAGAAATATGTACCCGCGAGTCCCCGACAAATAAAAAAACTATTTCTAGATCACTATCTTGTTTTTTGTTTTGTTTCATAAAAAAACAAAGCAAACAAACTAGTAGAAATAGAAAACAAATGCATACTCTTAACTGTTGCAGTTGTAGACCTCATAAATATCTTAAATTTGTTTTTAAAAATTAAAAATAACCCATGGCACCTTTATGTTTGCGTTTGTTATTTGTTCTTGTTTTAAAACAAACAAAAGAAAGTATATATAATATATTACTGGGCTGAGTCCTGAGCGGGCTCGGGAAATCGGGATATATACTCTACTCTAGTAGAGTCTAGACTCTCTAGAGAGAGTATTTAGTCACCAAGCGCCTCAAGCCGCCCTCAGCCGGTCCTCAAGGCTCAGGAGTCAGGGGCTCAGGGCTTTTTGTTTCAAGTTTTCAGGCTCCAAGCCTGAGTCCTGACTGTCCTCAGGACACATGTGAATAGTGTTGACTGGGTGTTTGGACTCTGGAGTCTGCCTGTCTGGTGATAACGTCACAAAGACAGTGACGCTGGGAGTTTGCCGGTTTCGGGTTTGGGACTTTGGGCCCGGCTGAGTCGACAGTGAGAATCAGACTATCAGGCCTTAAAGCCCTCCCCCCGAACGGATTTTGGGACTGGTTATGACAGGACAGTGAGGAACACTGAGGAGTGAGGACACCCATTCTGGCCTGAAACACTGTGGTCTGTGGGTACAAATTAAAATAGGAGAGGACAGAATTGTAAAATAGAGTCAAAAGTCCCCCGCACCCTATCCCCCCGCCTACTATGGCTTTCCGATTCTTTTGTTGTTGTTGTTTTTTAAATAATAGAAAGCAACCCAAAAACCAAAAAACAAAATATATAAATAGCAATGCAAATCACAAGCCGATACAAGGTATCCTGATTCCAATTTTCGAGAGTCTCGAACTCTACCGGTTAAAATTTTAATTATAAACAAATATATTTCAAAGAAAATCTCAAAATCATCACAAAACTTTATTCAGTCAAGATTCTGCCGTGGACGCTTTAGTTGCGCAATGCGTACTCATGTCTTTATACATACTCCTACTCCTACTATTTTAGACTAAGCTATTATACCGTTTACGTCATCGTATAACTTTTATTCTTGCGATAAAAGCAAGCCAGGAAACTGGTACTAAATACTACTGTTGATGGAATACATTATATAAATGAGAGCCAACGTCGATCGTATCATAATAATAAAATCGATATAATGTTACACCTAACGCTATGTATTCTAGCGGTCGCTAATGCACTCGCATTACCCGCGAACCAAACCTTCGAACCCAGCATTGCAAACAACGTTGTTTCCTCGATACGGCTCCGAACCTTGATTGTCGGCTCTACCAGCGATGCTGTAATCCTACCTGAGAATGTTGTTCAGGGATATGGAGCACCATACGATATAATTCTTGGCTCACAGCCACCATTGGATGGCGACGACTGGCATTCAATAGTGGTAGCGGATAGTGGTGTAAATAACACTTGGGTTCGTGAGTATGCCGCCCGAACACATGCACGTATTGTGTTTTTGCAATCCGTAGAGGATGCTCAAGATGCAGAACTCCTTGGTGTGGACAGTGTCCCCACACCCATTTCAAATGTCACCGTAGCAGATACCGACAGCGCCAGATACCTGGCGGGTGTATTTAACACAACATCTAGTTGGAATGTGTCGGAGATTGCACCTATGGCCGTATCTGTTCTTAATACCAGTATAGCCACTCCTTATTTGGTATTTGACAATGCCAACAAAACAGCTGATTTATCAGCAGCCGCCTTTGTTACCAATACAACGCTAGGTACCCAGGAAATGCATTTCCGCTTTCGTGCTAACGAGGCTGCGTTGACTGCCGATTTCGAGCCATTTTATACCTTGCCTACCGAATTCACTCAAATGAATTTAGCTCTAGGACACAGTTGGTTCGAGTGGGTAACCAGAGGTGTGTTCCTTGGTTATCGTCGTCTGACACTTAACATTCATGTCGATGACTGGTTTATCAACTCAGCAATCAGGTATACTGACGAAATTTATAGAATTAATAGCAGCGATGTTGAAACTTATGTAGAATGGAGAAAGAATTTCCATGACAATGTTCTTCCCACTGGATCTGAATTCAAATTGGAACCTGCATACAATGGCGCTGGACTGGGTATGACCGGCTATAATGATACTTCCTTAAATGAGGCCACATATACGTATGCTGACGAATTCAACTGGGTGTCCCACACCTGGTCACACATGAACATGGATTGGCTGGAAGACTGGCAGTGTGATGGTCAGCATAAGGTGTGCCATCCACTGCCTGAGCACTACGATGCTGAGCTTGGTTATAATCAGAAAGTGGCTAGGGGAGAGGGCATTGCTTCCGATGAATATATTGAGCTGTATTATGGTGAAGATGCAACCCCACCTCATCAATTCCTCGACAATCGCACAGAACTCATGCAGTATCACTACTCTGTTAAATCTCTAGTTACTCCTGAGATCTCCGGTTTGTGGCCCGCCTCCTACAATGGAACACCGCCAACTGGGCGGGTTCCGTATCTCAAGAACACTTTATTCTTCTCCAAGCTGGTAGAGTACGGGATCGAGAATGTTGTTGGTGACAACAGTCGTCCTGAACTCAACAATGAATTAATGTACCATGGAGTTTTCAGCACAGTGGAAGAGTACGGTTATGATGGTATTCTTATCGTCCCTCGCTGGAGTCCCAACATCCCATTCAATTGCAAAACTCTAGAGTGCGCTGTGCAGTTTTATGATACAGAGGGTGCCTGTTCATGGACCACGTACGGTCCCGCATGCGACCCGGATAAAGTGTGGGACGGACCTGGTGTCATCAACCGCGAGGCTAAGGCCAGTACTATTCCTCTTCTACAGCAACGTTGGGACCCGTATATGTTCCATCAAAGTAATGTTCACGCACAGCCCTACCGTGGCGGATTCGCTCCTTTGGTTGGCCAGTTTGTCCAAGAAGTGGCCGAGGATGTTCTGCGTTATATCACCGGCTTGCCATTTGTGAGCATCAAGATGGACGACTTAGCTGTGATGTACAGGGAGCGTATGACCCGAGACGATGCTAAGCAATACGGAACACTTCAGATGAATGCCGCTGGTGAACCCGTCAGTGTTTCAGTATCCGGCTGTGAGGACTTCAATTCAGTTGTAACAATCACAACCAATTCCCCACTATCCTTTGCAGAGCAGGTGAATGTGACCTTATATGGAACGGACGTGAGCGCTTTCAAACTAGTGACGCCAGATCAACCCGCTGTCTTCAATGTTACTGGGTCTATAATCTAATCAATATTCAGTACATTACTCAGTACATAATAATTGGTTAAATTTTCTCTATAAAAATATTTTGCAGTAGTGTGCAAGCACTATATAAAATAACATGACACGTGCACTTCCACTGCATATAATATCATATTGTATGTGTTCATACTACACGTATACCTACGAAAATAGCTCCTTTTAAGTTGTCTATAACACACAAAGCAACCGTAATTCATTTCTAACTTAATTTACATCAATTGGCAAGTAACAATCCATTTCACACGGTGTACGATTGTACGTACCCATATAATTTATTGTGGCTGCATTCGTTTGGTATTAATTGAATTAGTGTGCCGAATAAGACGGATCCAACGCAGCTCTCCACGTTCGATATTTGCATACAATACAAGTCGCAAACAAATATTAATCCATAGAATGCTCTTGAGTGTAGGCAACAACACCTTTTGCCAACCGTCAGTATAAGCCACAATCCGTGCTAATACCCGATAACTTTAATTTGTTGCTCTTCCTCAATAGCCGTTTTGCGAGTATATGGACCTTTATAGTCGGCTGTCGCTCCAGATAGTATTTCCTGCCATGAGGCTGGTTGTCAATGAGTTGACTTTCACAACAAAGTGAGTGTGTTTATATAGTACACTGATCTTCGCTTGGAATGGGCGCATATCGCACGTCTGCTGCTATGAGCAACCCCCGTCCACTACCTTTTCCGGAGTGTAGGAGACTCACTATAGTCAGCCGTCAGTACAAAGCCTTTCTCGTGCATCTCTCCGTCCCCTTCCTCCCAGGCGTCACTCTCTTCCCCGCCATCATCGCAGAATTCGGCCCATTTCGAGCCACTCTTACCCAGCAGCGTGGTGTTTGCACTAATCGTCCCTGATTCTGTACTACGTGTACCTGTGTTAGTGCCACGTACGTCGGTGTGCGTGTAGTGTGATCCTGTATGTGTACTGCCCAATCCTGTTTCCATTCCCCGCCTAGCTTGCTTTAGCCCTGTGTTTGTGTCTGTATTCGTGCCTACTCCCTGACCATAGTAGTGTGTATCGCGTGCACGCGCAAACGATTTCCCTGTATGCTGCTGGAGGTACTCACTTGCCGTCTGTCGCTCTCTAGCGTATGTTGGCTGTGACATGGAGTGAGTGTCAGACCGTGTGCCCGCCCCGCCATGAGGTGTACGTGCTGAGCTGAACAGTGAGGGCACCCTACCCACTGCTTTATAAGTGCCGTTGGTAGGTATATCCACATCTCCCAACAAGTCATCGAAGTCGTCACTGTCATCCGCTACACTCTTCCCATCCCTCACCACAGTGCCACATGCGCGTCGCTGTCTTGCACTCGCGACGCCACCTCGACCACGTGTACGAGTTCCTCTATAGTTGTCCACTGCGGCGTTCCGGTACCCCGGGATAGCCCTCTCTGTCACCGTAGCCTCAAGCCCGTTATTTTGCACACTCTCCAGTAGCAACTGGCTGGAGTGTGTACCACACTCTGGGTCGATGTGTTGTCCGTCTGCTGCACTAGGGCCTTTACCCCGTGTGTGAGCCATGCCGCTTGCCTCGCCATGGTCAACCTCTGCTGGAGTATACGTGTTGGTGCTACCACCCTCCGTGGGCTGTGGGTCATGCATGTATAGGTACTCCGCACACACAGACTGCTGGTGTCGTCTGGATCGGTTGTAGTCACCTCCATCGTCCTCCTCCGGATCACATATGCTCGTGTTAGCACTCGCTGTGTGCGGTGGATGATATGAGGCAGGGTTGCCACCTGTCGTGTGGTGTGTGTTGTGTGTATGCGCCCGTTGCTCCTGGGCTGGTTGTTTGCGGTTGGCTGTTCTGTTGTTGGTCACACCTGTGTGCGCGTTGCTACGGCTGGCAGTCCCGAACTTCGCACCACTTGAGCCTTTGCGGCGTCGCTTGTTAGGTCCAGAGTCCGGTACGTGTGTGACGTACTTAGTATCAGGCTCTACAGTTGTGTCGTCCTCCGACCCGGCAGATAACTTGTGTGGAGGAAATTAACGCCAAATTTGGATGGGGTTAATACCAAATTTAGATGGAATTAATGTCGAAATTTTAATGCCAAAATTTTAATGCCGAATTTGGATGGGGCTAATACCAAATTTAAATGGAATTGATGCCGAATTTTTAATGCCGAATTTGGCTGGTAGCAATGCCAATTTGGATGAAATGAATGCCAAATTCAATTGGGAACTGTGTGTCATGCAGAACTGAATTGGCACACAACACGGTAATGTCACGTGCATCGCAGGAAACGTATGAGGATACGCACACGCCATATACTACTATTTCTATTTATAGCACACCTTATGCTTTTATATCCAGAACAGCACCTAATCCCGGCAACAGCACACCAGGTACTCTATCTTAAGCATATCTTCACACCGTGGATAGAAGGCTGGCCGTATTCAAAACAGTTCCGTAATATGCTGGACTCACCTCATCTGCTGCGGTTTCTGTGGTGAATCTATGCCACTTCGATTGTTTAGGCAACTCTGAGCACTCTGCTGAAAGTGCTATCTGTCAACAAGCAACGCGAGCATCATCAAGGCAAAGCGAATATTATTAGCATACTAAACTATATGAAAGATGTGGGATAAGCATACGAGCAGGGCAAGGATTAGGTATTGAATTGCATTAAATGGTATTAGCATACTAACCTAAATGATGAATGTGGGTTGAACATACGAGCAGGGCAAGGGTTAGGTATTGAATTGCATTGAATGGTATTAGCATAATAACCTAAATGATGAATGTGGGTTGAACATACGAGCAGGGCAAGGATTGGGTATTGTTTTGCATTGAATCCGTAGACTTGCGAGCAAAAACGCGATCAACCAGCAAGAAAAGGAATAAAGTCTTGTGAACAGTTGGCTTATACGCATCCGCATTGCGTTCAAGGCACATACCTATACTTGTGCCTGATTGTGCTGCTGCATGTTTGTGCGCGCCTGTGTGCGTACGTATTAGCTCGCGGGGGAGATAGGTCAATTCTTATTCCCCAAGCCAGTGCAACTGAGGCTACAGATAACTGCCCCCCTCCCTCCATCCAGTTGGTTCTCAAATACACACCATACAATGCAAGTTCGGTACGTACACATACCAGACTTCTGAGTACAAAAACATACCGTGCGTGTATCCGTTTCGGGCCTCTGCATTGCCGCGGCAACGTTCTGTTCCAGCTCCATACCCTATTCACAGTGCTATGACGGATGAGATAGTACACGAATGACAGGTACCAACGCACATGAACTGTATATGGGAAAACATGTCTCTCAGAGGGCCAACAAAGGAGCCAAGTGTGAGCAGGAGAAATAAGTATTAGTCGGCACTGTGCCCAGGGATTGTACCGGCCTGCCCGTAGTGTGATAATCAGGGGCGTAATTTGACCAAATTCAACAAACAACATGTGGCCTGTGAGACGCATATGAAGCATTCCTAATTAAGCACACCACTGGTGAGGGGGAAGAATTTGTACATATAAGATAGGTGTGGTTAGTGCTATCTCTGTCCGCGCGGAGTTTGTGACTTTATATTGCCAGACACGAGCAGCTAAGAACAACAAAACGCGCAAACCTTAAATAAGTCATATACTAGTTTGAGACCCACACACACACACACGGCATCAACCCACTAGAGCCGCAAGAGTAAGTGTTGTACAGGTTGGCACCATGGCCCAAGTAGATCACTCACATCTGTCCTCAGTATGCGACTAAAACGCAAAGAGGTCGTGATCGCTACCATCTTAGAGTGTGTCAACAAACTCAGCACTACACCTGTTGGTAGCCCTAACGCGTGCGATAAGGGACTGCAAATCAGCTGGATCAGGATATGCATCGCATCCAACGTACACAGAACAGAACAGGTGCACTCATCGACACTCTGGCCAACCGCACCCAACGTACACAGATCAGGACAGGTGCACTCATCGACACTCTGGCCAACCGCACCC